GTTTTTAAAAATATATTTTATTGATTTCTCACAGAGAGGAAGGGAGAGGGATAGAGAGCTAGAAACATCGACGAGAGAGGTACATTGACCAGCTGCCCCCTGCATACTCCCCACCTAGGATGTGCCCGCAACCAATGTACATGCCCTTGACCAGAATCAAACCCAGGATCTTTCAGTCCGCAGACCAACGCTCTATCCACTGAGCCAAACCGGTTTCGGCAAAGATTTATTTTTTTAAAAAGAAATTGAGTTTTGCCCTGGCAGGTTTGGCTCAGTGGATAGTTCCTGGACCTGTGGACTTGGGGGTGGGGGTCCCATGTTCCATTTCAGTCAAGGGCACATGCCCAGGTTGTGGGCTCGATCCCCAGTGAGGAGCATGCGGAAGGCAGTTGATCGATGATTCTCATCATTGATGTTTATATCTCTCCCTCTTCCTTCCTCTCTGAAATTTATCTATATCTATATATCTATATATCTATATATCTATATATCTGTATATCTGTATATCTGTATATCTGTATCTCTGTATCTCTGTATCTCTATATCTATATCTATATCTATATCTATATCATCTATATCTGAAATTCAGTCTTGTTGCCATAACAAAATACCACATACGGGGTGACTTAAACAACAGAAATGTATTTTATCACAATTCTCAGGCTAGAAGACCAAGGTCAAGGTGCCAGAGGGTTGGTTTCTGATGAGGACTCCTCTTGGCGTGTATATGGCTGCTTCTTATCACGCCTTGACATGGTCTTTCCACTATGTTCACATGCTGGGGGGAGTGAGGGCGCCCTCTGGTGTTTCTTCCTTTTCTTACAATGGCAGCAGTCCTATGGCATTAGGGCCCCACCATCTGACCTCACTTAATTTTAAGTATCTTAATCAAGGCCCTATCTCCAAATACAGTCACATTGGGGGGTTAGGGTTTCACTGTATGAATTTGGGGGGACACAATTCAGCCCATAACATATCCCTTGCTCACACCATGTATGAAAGTAAATTCTAGACGGATTGAAGACTAAAGAGTAAAATACAACTATAAAATTAATAAAAGAAATGAGATCTTTGTGACCTTGGAGTAGAAAACTCTTTTCAAACAAGATCCAAAAAGTATAAAGTATAAGGAGGGATTTTGATGAATTTAACCACATCAAAAATTCAGGATTTCTTCCAACGAAGTTCATCCCAGGTAAAGCTAACAGAATGGTTGATAGCACTGTTGCCACATTTAAACCTGGTAATGGGATTATTATCTAGAATATTAAAAGGAATTTCTGAAAAATAAAAATTTAAAAACAGGAAAATCCAATAGAACATGAAACATAGGCTATGAACAGGCAATTCATAGGAGGGGAAATAAGAATGGCTACCAGGTATGTGGAGAATGCCCATCGAGTGGATAACCAGAAAAACCCAGAAAAACCCAGTACCACTTTATAGTTCTGTGCCATCAGATGGACAAAAATGAGATGGCCCAATCATTACAAGTGTTGACTGGGATGTAGGGAGACGTTTATGCACTCAGAGCTGGTGTGGACATACCAGCAGGGAGTGCACACTAGAGAGCAACCTGGCAGTACCTGGTCAACAACAGGTCTGGGCCTGATGACCCAGCAACCTCAGAGAGGCTCTCCTGCAGGCCCACGACTAGACATGCACAAGGATGGTCACTGCGCACTGCTAGTAGGGGCAGGAAGTTGGAGGCAACCTAGGTGTGCTTCACGAAAAGGTAGATAAGTAAAATGTGTGGGTGCACATATGGAATTCAATGCAGAAGGAAGAAGCTGGGGGTGGGGGGCGCGGGGAGAAAGGGGGGAAAAGGTAGGCCCCGGCTCTTTTATTAGGACAGCAAGGTGTTTCCAGAAGCTTCGCCCAGCTGCTTGCATTTCATTGGCCAAAACTGTGTGACATGCTCACACGTAACTAAAAGGTGACTGACGAGAAGGGAGGTTATAAATAGGGATTGCGTACTTAATCAGCGATGACTAACACACAATCTTGTAGATTTCTCCCAAATGCTGCACAGAACTCACCGCATCTCACTGCATAGAATTCACCACATCTTACCGGGATTGGAAGAGGTACAGTAGCCCTTTTGTGACCACGAGAGGAAAAGTCAAGAGATTCCCAGACGAGACCCTGACATCAAGTTACATCAACACCAAAAGCCTCTGACCCACGAATTTTTATCTTGTGTGAAGAATAAACCTCTATTTGTTCACGTCACTTGTCTCAGGTAGGGCTCAGCTGCAGACATCAGAAGTAGACCTGGCTCGTTTAAGCAGAGAAGGATGGAGAAGCAGGCTCTAGGTCCAGGAGCAGCGTCCAGCCTTGAGAGGCACATGACCTGTCCGTGTGTGATCAGGAAAACAGCACTCACCATGGCAGGAAGCTGACGAATCAGGAAGCGGCTCACCAGAGCGCCAGAGCATCTGTGGTGATGTGTGACAGCAAAACGGATGTCCCAAGCTATTCAGCGCTGTTCTAAATTTATGCCTTGCACAAGAGCAGAACCTAAATCACGGATTCCTCGCTCCAGGGAATCTGGGAAGTGGTTTGGCTTTCCAGCTCAGGAGAAACACCGAAAGGAGTTTTGATTCGTGTGGAGCACCAGTCCAGGGCAGCCACCACACCGTGAGGTCAGCTTTGGGTTACTCCTTCCTGAAACACAGCACAGAGGGCAACAGGTCTTGAAAGCACAGCCTTGAGTAAAAGCCAATGCCAATGCCACATAACTCTTAAGGTGTGAGTTAAAACATGCACAATCAACACCACATTTCTCAATGAAATGTACAGTTTCAAAGATATATGTGCCAATTGGTAAAGAAAAGTAGCAGGGGAATGAGCTATGGAAACCAGGAATAAAAGAAATAAACTGCCAAAACCGGTTTGGCTCAGTGGATAGAGCATCGGCCTGGGGACTGAAAGGTCCCAGGTTCGATTCCGATCAAGGGCATGTACCTTGGTTGCGGGCACATCCCCAGTGCAAGAGGAAGCTGATCGATGAATCTCTCTCATCGATGTTTCTAACTCTCTATCCCTCTCTCTTCCTCTCTGTAAAAAAATCAATAAAATAAAAATAAAAAAGAAATAAACTACATACTGCTGGGAGTGGTATGAACAGAGGAATAGGTAGGATTGGCTCACGTGTCTACACCTGAGGTCTCACCAAACCAAACCATTACCTTTAATGTCAATATTACTTTGACGAATAACTTATTATTAAACGAATGCATAATTATAAGTAACTTAATTTGAATAATTAAATTAATGTATCTTACTATTAATACAACTTAAATATTTCATACTTAATTTACCCCACTAAAACTATTCCATTAAACTTAATATGTCATAATGTCTGTGGTCCTAATTAGGCAATTCTTTACGTATTAACTTCCCAGAACTTAAACAGATCGGTCCAGGTGACTCCGGGAGCCCTGCCCGCCCTCCCCAGGGTCAGCCACGACCTCATCAGTCACACTCTGCAGCAGGGACAGGGACTTTCTTTCATCTTCCAGGTCTGTGTCCTGCAGCCGGTCTCCCTGGAGGTGGAGGTGAGGCCTTTGGAGGAAGGAGGGTCCTCCTCTCAGAGCCGCCCCGCGGGGAGGAGCCGCCGAGGTGGCCCCGCCCACCCGGGGCAGGACTGGGGGCGGGGCTTGTCCCTGGGAGGAGAGACCCGCCCCTCTGGGCCCCATCCTTACTTACCCGCCTGATCCAGCTTAAGTGCAGCCATCTGTCACCTGCGTGCTTCCTGGGGAGAGAGGGTCCACTCCGAGCTCCCGAGACTGGTGAGTGCTCCCAGGAGCTCGGGGGATGCTGAGAGCCCAGCAGGGACTGTCCTCCCCGCCTCCACCTGTCCTCCCCTCCTCCATGTGTGCTCCCTGCCTCCACCTGTCCTCCCCGCCCCCCCCTGTCCTCCCCGCCCCCACCTGTCCTCCCCGCCTCCCCTGTCCTCCCTGCCCTCCCCGCCCCCACCTGTCCTCCCCTCCCCCACCTGTCCTCCCCTCCCCCACCTGTCCTCCCCGCCCCCCCTGTCCTCCCTGCCCTCCCCGCCCCCCCTGTCCTCCCTGCCCTCCCCGCCCCCACCTGTCCTCCCCGCCCCCACCTGTCCTCCCTGCCCTCCCCGCCCCCACCTGTCCTCCCCTCCCCCACCTGTCCTCCCAGCCCCCACCTGTCCTCCCTGCCCCCCTGTCCTCCCTGCCCTCCCCGCCCCCCCTGTCCTCCCTGCCCTCCCCGCCCCCACCTGTCCTCCCCGCCCCCCCTGTCCTCCCTGCCCTCCCCGCCCCCACCTGTCCTCCCCTCCCCCACCTGTCCTCCCAGCCCCCACCTGTCCTCCCTGCCCCCCTGTCCTCCCTGCCCTCCCCGCCCCCACCTGTCCTCCCCGCCCCCACCTGTCCTCCCTGTCCTCCCCCTTCCCCCCCTCCCCCGTCCTCCCTCAGAGGTTGGATGGGACGGGATACCCAGTGGGATAAGGCCCTCCCCAGGCAAGCCTTGGGAGATTTGCAGCTGGCGAGCCCCTCCCTGCTCCCCTCCATTCTGTGTTACAGGTGTCAGCTGCGCTCAGAGGGGGGACTGGCTTCTGCCCCCAGGCCGGAGGGGGCACCGGGCATGTCTGCGGCACCGACCTGCCCGGACAGTGAGGCCCGCAGGCTGGGCGCCCTGTACTGGGCCTGCGTACGCAACGACCCTGCCCAGCTGCAGGCTGCGCTGGAGGCCGGGGTGTCCCCGGAGGAGGCCGCCCAGGCGGACGGCAACGGGAGGGTGAGCCTCCCCAGTGCCTCCTAGGCAGTGTGGCTCAGCGGGGAGGGCGGCCTCACAGGCAGGGCATCGCTGGGACAGTGTGGCTCAGCGGGGAGGGCGGCCTCACAGGCAGGGGTCTCTGGGACAGTGTGGCTCAGCGGGGAGGGCGGCCTCACAGGCAGGGCGTCGCTGGGACAGTGTGGCTCAGCGGGCCCAGGCGCCAGGAGCGCCTGGGGAAGCACAGGCTGAGCGCCTCTCCCCCAGACAGGCCTCATGGTGGCATGCTCCCGCAGCTTCGGGAGCGTCGTGGCCCTGCTCAGCCGCTGTCCGTTCCTGGACGTGAACCATCAGGACAAAGAAGGCGACACGGCCCTCATGCTGGCCGCTCAGGCAGGTGGGAGGCCCTGACCCCCCTGCCAGCCCCGCCTCCAGCCCGCAGGGCCTGCTCCCAGCCCGGCTCCGCGGTGCCGGGTGGAGAGGGGGGGGGGGCTTCACCACCCCTTTCCCGGGTCCCACATCTGCCTCCCGCTCTGCAGGCCACGCGCCCCTGGTGAGCCTCCTGCTCGGCTACTACGCGGGCCTGGACCTGGAGCGCCGGGACCAGCGGGGGCTGACGGCGCTGATGAAGGCCGCGCTGCGGGACCGCGCGGACTGCGTGGCTGCCCTCCTCATGGCAGGTGCGTGGCCTGCGCGGACGGGATCCGGGGCCTCCTGCCCCTCCCCAGGCACCCTGCAGACACCGAGTCAGCCGTCATAGCTGCCGAGCAGCGGAGAGAGCGGGGACCAGGATCGATCTAGGCTGGCTTCCTGGATGAGGGGGGGGGTCGGGCTTCTCACAGTGGAGTCCAGCTATGGATAGCTGTTTACATAGTTAATGGAAGTCCCAGGAAAGAAGAGGAGAGGACAGTTAGACCAACCGGAGAACTAAAACACAGTAGGCTGGTACCCGGAGGCAGCCCTCACCTCCTCCCCCGGCTCTGCCTCCAGCTGAGTGGCCTCCCTCTGGGCCTCGCCAGTAAGAGAAGGCGCAGGCCGTCTCCGCGATGGAGCTCTGAGCAGCGGGCTCCAGGATCACAGGGAGGCACAGAGACTGGCTGCATGGGGTTCTGGAGCGAAGCCCACACTGAGGGGCCGTGGACTCTCATTATTCCCCCAGGGGAGCTGTCCTCTGGTGGTAACGCCGGGGGACCCCAGCCTGCAGCATTCCCTTCCCCTCCGTCAGATTGGGTTTCGGGGTGAAGGGAGGGAGCTCTGCACCCCCACCTTTGACTCAGAGTATTTGCTACCCCCAGGATTAACGGGGTTCGGTGATGCAAAGAAGGACCAGCAGGACCCTTCCCTCCCACTCCCCCCCTCCCGCCACCTGCACACCACCCCTCTGGTCAGTCCCTTGTTCAGGACCCCTATTCTGTTCTGGTTTGGAGACCCCCAACACGTCCCTCTGAAGTCTTTCCCCTTCTCTGCACGTCGGTTTTCTTCACCGTCTCGAACAGAGCTTGGGGTCTGGGACTGGTCCCGTCTCTGGGCTGTAGCCACCCCCAGATTCCAGCTGTAGCAAGATGAGTGGGAATTGAACCCAAGTCAGTCCTGCTGCTAGGGCATGTGCCCTTCTGCACATCACCCATCCCCGTCCCAGCCCACACCACTCCGTGCCCTCCCAGGTGCTGACCTGACAGCCGTGGACCCTGTGCGGGGCAGGACAGCCCTGGAGTGGGCGCTGCTGACCGGCAGCTTCGACACGGTGCGCAGGATCCGGCGGCTGCGGCAGCGGCCCCGGGCGGAGCAGCTCAGCCGGCATTACCGGCCAGAGTGGCCGGCCCTGCCCCTGCTCGTGGCCCAGGCCCAGGCCCAGGGCGCCCCCTCTCTCCTGGAGAGGCTTCGGGCCACCTGGAGCCTCCCCTTCGCCCAGTCTCCGCAGGAGGGGGGTGTCCTGGACCACCTTGTGACCCTCACGACCAGCCTGGCAAGTCCCTTCCTCACCACCGCCTGCCACCCTCTGTGCCCGGACCGCCCGCCTGCACTGGGAACCCTAAGCAAGTCTGTGCCAGAGCTGCTGGGCACGGCTCCTCCCCCGCCCCCAGGCCCCCAGCCTCCACAGGTGGTCCCTGGCCCCCGGGTCCTCATCCCTGACCAGAGGCCTCCCGGTGTGCTGAGTGTGTGCCCTCAGTGGCTACAGCCCAGGGCCGGTCCCAGCCCCAGGCCCCAAGTCCCCAAGATCCTCCTCTCCAAGGTGCCCTCACCGCCCAGCCAGCGTGAGCCGGAGCCCAGGCCTGCAGGGCATCGCAGCCTGGCCCTTCCGGTCTGGCGGTACCGGGAGCTCAGGGTGCAGAGGAGGATGCAGGAGAAGGAGGCACAGAGCCAGGGGAAAAAGAGCTAGGCCGGACGGGGGCAGGGAATCAGCCCCTCCCAGGGGCTCCCTGCTCTGTAGAGCCCCTTCTGCCTGCCATCCGATGACGAGGTCCTTCACACAACACTGTGCAGCAATAAGAGTGGAGTCAGCCTACGTGTCTACAGGGGACAGGCTAAAGGATGTGGGTGTCATTACTGTACCCCCATACGATGTGTCCTGTGCAGTCATAAACAGGAGCAAGGCAGCTCTTCATGCTCGATAGGAAACGGTCTTCCAGATGTTTGGGTGAGAAATAGCCAAGGGGTAGAACAGTGCCTATGGCATGCTGCTGTTTGTCAAGCCTGCATGGAGCTACACGTGACTAGTATAAGCATAAAGTGAGTACCAAGATTTATTTAACTAGTTAATGATACAAAAAAGTTAATTCTCGCCTTGCAATAAAATCATAACTGTTTTTTTCCTCAACCAGATGAAAATGATTTGCTATTTTTCAATCTTTTACAGGTTTACCCTCTTCACTTTACAGAGCCTGGGCCCCCATCAATAGGAACTTGTATGTCAAACCAAGAGACTTCCCCTAGATGACCCATAGGTGGGGTTATTAGCCAATGGTCTAACATATCTCTGAAGGGGCATTGGGTACGTAATTTTGTGTGTGTCTTATTTACAAGGTTTGAATTTTGTTTTCTTTTTTTTTTTTTTTTGGTTGTTAATTTTTACCCGAGGATATTTTTTTTCCCGATGTATCAACTTTGCAATCTTATTCCAGCATTCTTTTTTTCCACTGACTGTCAATAATGGTTTTTATTTCTTCCTTTGACCCATCCATGGTTCACTCATTAACTAGTTAAATAAAATATGGTACTCACTCTATGTTTTCAGGAAGGGAGGAAGAAGGGAGAGAGGGAGAAACATCGCTGTGAGAGACACATGGTTTGGTTGCCTCCCACACGAACGCTGACCTGCGTACATGCAAACCAGGACCTGCCTCTGACCCGGAATCAAACCCGAGACCCTTCGGTGCATGAGCCAACGTTCTAATCACTGAGAAACATCAGCCAGGGCTGAATTTGTTTTGTTTTGTTTTGCTTTTTGTTAAACTTTGCCCCAGAATATTTTTTCCCATGGATTTTTAGGGAGAGTGGAAGAAAAAGGGAAAGACAGACAAACATCAATGTGAGAGAAACACATCAATTAGTTGCCTCCTGCACCAGCCCTGACCAGGGTCTGAGCTGGGGAGAAGCCTGCGACCAAGGTATGTGCCCTTGACCGGAATCGAACCCAGAACCCTTTGGTCCACAGGCCAACACTCTTGCCACTGAGCCAAACTGGCTAGGGCTCTTAACATATTGGTTGCATAAATATATTTGCATGTGTATTTGTAATAATAAAAGCAACCAATATAAGGTGCTTACTATGTACATTTAACAGTCCCAATAATCCTTTGAGGAGTTTATCTTGGAGGACACAGGACAGAGAGGGTCAGGAGTTACCGGGGGTCACACAGCTGGAAAATGGCAGACAGAGGTCAAGGGAGAGAGCTAGTTAGGAGGCTGTCTCCTAACACTAGCCCCCGCGGTCTCACTGGGCCCTCTCTGGAAAGAACCAGGGGATCTCCTTGGGGAAAAGATGAACAGCTGATCAGGGTGGAAGGGAGACTTTTCATTGACTATCTTTTCTAACCTTTTGACTCTTAAAAAAACACACACACAAAAAAAAAAACCTCATTTTTTTTTAGAACAGTTTTAATTAATAGAAGAAAGTTCCCATATTCCCCAATCCAGTTTCCTCTATGAGTAGCATGAGTACAGTACATTTGGTACAATTTGAGCCGATATTAATACATTATTATTAATAAAATCCATACTGCATTTATATTTCCTTCGTGTTTACTTAGTGTCCTTTCTCTGTCCAGAAGTTCGTCCGGGATACCACTGTACGTGTGGTTGCCACGTCTCTGTAGGTTCCTGGAGACTGTGAGCGGTCCCCAGACTTTCCTTGTTTCTGATGACCTTGATACTGATCAGGAATTTTGTAGAATGACCCTCGGCTGGGATTTGGGTGATGTTTTTCTCATGATTAGAGTGGGGTCATGGATTTTTGGGAGAAAGATCACAAAGGTGATGGGCCATTCTCATCACACCATATCCAGGGTACATACTATGAACATGGCTTATCATGGTGGAATTGACCTTGATCACGTGGCTGGGTAGTGTTTGTCATGTTTCTCTTTCTTCCCTGCTTTCTTTCTTTTTTTAAAAAAAATTTTATTGTCGATACTATTGCAGATGCCCCCCAATTCCCCTCCCCTTTGCCCACTTCCACTCTGCCCTTTCCCCACCCCTAGGCCCTCACTGCACTACTGGTATTGTCTGTGTCCATGGGCTGTGCAAACATGTTCTTTAGCTAATCCCTTCACTTCCTTTTATCCAGTCCCCTCCATCCCTCCTCTCTGACATTTATCAGTCTGTTCCATGTATCTATGCCTCTGATTCTATTTTGCTCATTGGCTTATTTTGTTCATTAGATTCCACATATTAGTGAGATCATATGGTATTTGTCTTTCTCTGACTGGCTTATTTCGCTTAGCATAATAATCTCCAGGTCCATCTATGCTGTCACAAAGGGTAAGAGTTCCTTCTTTTTTAATTTTTTCAAAAATATATTTTTATTGATTTTAGAGAGGAAGGAAGAGGGAGAAAGAGATAGAAACATCCAGGATGAGAGAGAATCATGAATTGGCTGCCTGCTGTAAGTCCCCTATGGGGATCGAGCCCACAACCTAGGTATGTGCCCTGGATGGGAATTGAACCTGGGACCTTTCAGTTCCCAGGCCAATGCTCTATCCACTGAGCCAAACTGGCTAGGGTGAGTTCCTTCTTTAAAAAAAAAATAAAAAAATATTGATTTCAGAGAGGAAGGAAGAGGAAAAGGTAGAAACATCAATAATGAGAGATAATCATTGATTGGTTGCCTCTTGCATGCCCCACACTGGGGATCAAGCCCACAACCCGGCCATGTGCCCTGACTGGGAATCCACCACTGAGCCATGCTGGCCAGGCAAGAGTTCCTTCTTTTTTACAACCACGTATTCCATTGTGTAGATGGACCACAGCTTTTCTATCCACTCATCTACTGATGGGCACTTGGGCTGTTTCCACATCTTGGCTACTATAAACAGTGCTGCTGTGAACATAGGGCTGCATATATTCTTTCTGATTGGAGGAAATTCCATGTTGTTTTCCACAGTGGTTGTATCAGTCTATATTCCTCCCGATAGTGCACTGGCTTCCTTTTTCTCCACATCCTCACCAGCACTTGTTTGTTGATTTGATGACGGTAGTCATTGACAGGTGATACCTCACTGTAGTTTAAATTTGCATCTCTCCGACGATTAGTGACCTTGAGCATTTTTTCATGTCTATTGGCCATCTGTATGTCTTCTTTGGAAAAGTGCCTATTCAGGTCCTTTCCCCATTTTTAATTGGACTGTTTGTCTTCCTGGTGTTGAGTTGTATAAGTTCTTTATATATTTTTTAAATTAACTCCTTATCAGAGAAATCATTGGTGAATCTGTTCTCCCAAAGGGTGGGTTCTCTTTTTGTTTCGCTGATGGTTTCATTTGCTATGCAGAAGCTTTTTAGTTTGACATCGTCTCATTGTTTATTTTTCTTTTTGTTTCCCTTGCTCTCAGACACATTGGCAAAAATATTGCTCTGTGAGATGTCTGAGATCTTACTACCTATGTTTTCCTCTAGAGTTTTTACGGTTTTGAGACTTACATTCAAGTCCATTATCCATTTTGCGTTTATTGTTGTGTAGGGTGTAAGTTGGTGGTCTAGTTGCATGTTTCTGCATGCACCTGTCCCATCTGCCCACACCGTTTAGGGAAGAGACTGTTCGTCCCTGCTTCCCATGCTGTGCTCTTCGGGAAGTCACGGTCTGAAGCCCTCACTTAGGGAGTGGGGAGTTGTGCTCCATCTTCTTGGCGATGGGCTGTCTGCGTACATGATGGACTTATTTGCAATTCTTCTGCACAGAATGTTTTGAATTTTTAATCATGTGTTACCAAGATATGAAAAATGAAAAATTAAAAAAAGGCTGCTCTTTGAATTGGAGAACACACACACACACACACACACACGCACACACACACACATTGAGGTGAAAAGGATAGTGTGTGGTCTCTCTCCAGAGGGTTCTGAACACAGCCAGGGGGGACTGGCATGGGCTCAAGGTTAGCTTTGCCATTTCCCACCTGTGTGATCCCTAAGCAGGCTCACAAATTTCTCCTGACCACTCCTTTGTTAAATGGGTGGAAACAGGGCTATTGAAACAATCCATTCGATAATATGGGTAAACAGGCTCTGTAACATGTAAAGCGCTACCGGGAGTTGAGGTGCTATGGAAGGGCCTCGGGTACTGGGTTTGACTGAGTGCTTCTGGGCCTCCAGGGTGGAGCCAGAGTTCTCCCCTCCCACCCACTGCCGAAGCCAGGGCATCTGGAGCCAGCCCTGGCACAGACGGAGAGAAACTCCACCTCCGGGCTTGGGCAGCTTGGTGGTTACACACCTCTGTCTAGAACACATGTGTCAAACACAAGGCCCGCGGGCCAAATCCGTACCGCCAGGCCTTGCAATGTGGCCCGCACCGCGCTGTCATCACTGCACTCCGCTGCGTTTCCATCACAATGACAGTTTATGACTGTTCAGTAAACCATTCGGCCCGCGATTTAGGCTGGATTTTAGATTTTGGCCCCTTCTCTGATTGAGTTCGACACCCCTAGTCTAGAAGGTGGCATATGACCTTGGGCACGTTATTTATCCTTTCTGAACCTCGAGGCTCCTATGTGGGCTGGAACAATAACAACATTACCAGGGCTGATGTGAGAACAAAAAGAAATAATGAAGCACCCTGCGCTGCCTCTGGCCTGGTTAAATCATCATTATTCTATTTAATCCTCACCGCAGTTGGTAGGTGAAGGTTAAGGGACTTGCTTAAGGTCACCAACTGGTAAGTGGCTAAGTTGCCCTTGGAGTTCAAGTCTGTGAGACTCTAAGGCCGATGCCCCCGCAGCACACGGCCTCTGCCCACAGCCCGCTCCCTGGTCCTCAGAGCCTCTCCCTCCCACGTCCAACGTCTCACAGGGATGGCCACAGCATCTGCAGGGCCAGAGCTAGCCTCCTGGGGCTCTCTCTCCTGGCGGGCGTGGCAGGCATGGACTTTGGCTGGGAGGCTGACCTGGCAGTAAGGACTGGGTCTCAGGGGGACATTTTCCTCTCCGCCTTGGAGAATACCCACCCTCCGCCCCCAGCCATCTCCACGGCAGCCGGCACCCCAGGCCTGCAGTTCCGCACTTCCACCTCTCGGCTAAGCCGTTCCTCCCTCATCCTCTCACAGCTCCTAACAGCTTTGCAGGCTACGGGAGAGGAAAGGGCTGCTGGCTGCTCTGCCCATGTCCCCCCGCCCCTGAGGTCAGCCTCTCTACTAACCACCCAGCTCTCCCACCCCCAGCCCAGCCCCTGCGGCTTCCCAACTGAGCTCTTGTCCGAAAAGGCCAGGGAGCTGGGAGGAGGCTCCCGCTGTGCAGAACACAGGCCCCCGCGATGCTGCCTGCTACAGCCCACAGACCTGGGTTTGAATCCTGGTCCTGCCTCTTACCATCCCTGCCACCAAGGACCTCTTCCAGCCTCGTGTGTAGCATCAGATGGTTGTAATAAATAATTCCCAGGGTTTTGTGCGACCTGCCATGGAGAGGTATGCGAAGCACTGAGCGGCGCCTGGCCGGGCGCCTAGCGAGCAGGGCTTTTGTTCCTGTGCTGAGAGGCAGGGCGAGGATGTGCCACGGGGCAGCTGACTGAGGGGGCCAGCGACGTGTCCTTGGAACCCCACGGCCTCCCCGGTGATTCTAGGATACTATGGGGGGGGGGGGGGGGGGAGAAGGGCTGAAACAAAAACACATACTTACCCTGGCCAGCCTTCCAGGCCAGGTCCTGCGCCCCCAACCCCTCGCTGCAGCCCTGAGGGCCACCACCTCGCTCCCGGGTGAGCCTG